AAGGAGCCGACACTGGCTATTGAGTTTCACTTATACGGACATTGCAAACCGGTTGGATTTTTTTTTGCCATGGCTAAACAAAGCCTAGGAACGCCTGCCTGAGCTCGGTGCCTGGGTTGGTCCCATGCATGACGCCTGTCCTAATCTCTGCTCTGCCACACACACTTCTTTGTGCACTCAAGGGAAACCCAGGCACTCCATTCCCTACTGGGGGGATCGCAGGCGCGTTACAGAGCAGAGAGAGCACCCTAGGGCAGCCTGCTTGGGATATATTCTTGGAGGTTTCAGCAATGGACATAATCTTTCATTAAAGATTCATCTTTAATTCCTGAAGACTCCAAGACAATTCTAGAAGATTGGCAATCCTAGAATCCTAGGGCTGGAAGAGACCTCAGGAGGCCATCCAGTCCAGCCCCCTGCCCAAAGAAGGACCAACCCCAACTCAATCACTAATACATCCAGTTTTGCCAATTGCCGGTGTGCCGATGCTGCACAGCGTGTAGACGTACCTGAGCTACTGCCAATAGAGCTGCTCCCCTGACAACAGTAATGAAGCCATGGCAGGATGGACAGCAGCATGGGCTATGCAGACCTGCTTGGGTATAAACCCGACTGGCTAGCCCCTGCTACCATAGGTGGCTCCCCTGCTAGATCAGAGCTCTCCCGGGTAGGTCTCCATGTGTTGCAGTCATGCCGCTAGTTGTGGTGTAGACCTAGCTGTGTATGAGGTGGCTGACAGGCTTACAAAACGCTTGGGATTATAATTAGAATGCGGGCTTGGGAGCCAGAGCTCCTGGGCTCTATTTCCGACTCGGCCACCGACCTTGGGCAAGTCACCTCCCATTCTCTTCCCGCTCTGTCTGCCGAGACGGTGAGCTCTCCAAGGCACCTCTCGCTGTGTCTGGGCAGAGCGTAGCACAATGGGGCCCTGGCAGGGTGGGGATCATTAGGTGCCACAGTCATGCAAATGATACAAATACAGGTTGGACCTCCCTGATCCAGCACCCTCGGGACCTAAGCAGTCCCAAAGGAGGGAGTTTGCCAGATTAGGGGAGGTCAGGCCTCGAGCTCTCCCGGTGCTCCCCTCCTGGCCACGCCTCCTGGCCACATGGGTCATGTGCGCTGTGGAGCTCCCTGCCTCCCACCAGCGGGGCTCACCTGCCGGCTGGCAGAGTTCCCAGCCCCTGGGCCACTGGCAACCTCTGGGGCTGGGGCTCTCTGGTCCTGCAACATCCGTGGCCCAGTTGCAGGACCAGAATGCCCCGGACCACGGAGGTTCAACCTGTAATGAATTTCAGGAGGCAACTCACCATCTCTGCTGCTGAAGGGAGCCGTGCTAGAGCCACATTGGGCCACTGAAGCTGAAGAGGTCTTGCCCCTTGTCCTCACGGGGTTCCTGTTTCTGAGGTCTCCTTTCGTGCATTAATATCAAGCTGCCCTTTTAAAAGAAAGTGATACTGGCAATTAATATTTACAAGAGAACAATTAGGCAATTATTGCCTCTGTCAGAAGGCAATGAATCAACCCCCGGCTCCCACTTATCGGCTGGGCTGGCAGGACGTTTCTTGCACTCACTTTGCATGCTGTGATTAGCTTCCTGAATTAATGATGTTTAATGGGGCCCTTGATTCGGAATAAACAAAGTGTCAGAGTTCTTTCCCCAGGGAATCTCGGGGCCAGGTAATGCCTGGGAACTAGGCATAAAATGTCAGATCCCTTTCTACCCCTCCCCATCTCTCCCAGTGCACTCTGTAACCCCATCCCAGTTCTCTCTATCCCCTCCCTGCCATCCACCTTGCCCCCTTTGCCTCCCTCTCTTCCCTCTCATTCTCCGTTTGTCTCCACTAGTCCTATGCACGCACCCGGGGAAACATGAGTCACGCACGCTATTGAGCTCAAAAGTGGGCAGAGCACGTCAGAACAGCTATGCTGGGCCCCTCCCCTTTTCCCCACCAGATCTCCTGTAGGGTTGCCAGATACTTTCACAAGAAATACTGAAAAAAACTGGTTGAGCAAAAAAAAAAAAAAAGAGGACCAAAGTTGTTGAGCAAAATACTGGACACCTGGCAACTCCTCGTCCCCGGTACGGAGCATTCATGCTCAATGAGTCATGCATGCAGAGGACCAGGTGCCAGAGCCATTTCTTAAACAGCCCCTCAAGCTCTCATCTTGAGAATGGGTTTTAAGAACACTTGTAAGGTTGAATCTCCGCCTCGAAACCTTCCTCTGCCATGAGGCCTACAGAGCTTGGGCACTGGTGAGGCAGCCAGCCAGCCAGAGTGTCTACTTTCCTGCTTAACACTGTCAATTTGGTTACCTCAGCCTCTCACCCTCCCCGGCCCATCAGTCTGGTTCATCCACCTGTCACATGCATGGTTTTCTAAATGCCCTGTCCTGGAATCGATGAAGACAGTGCCTGCCTCACGAAGCTGCCATACTGGCTCTGTCTTCAGAGATTCCAGGGCCAGAAAGGACCACTGTGACCCAGAACTTCCCCCCCTAATTCCGGGAGCAAAGCTTTTAGAAAAACATCCTGTCTTTACAGGGCCGGATTACCCATTAGGCACAATAGGCACAGTGCCTAGGGCCTAGGGAAAAGTTTTGGGCCTACAAAAAAACCCATAATTACTTGAAAATAAGAAAAGAAAACTGCTAAATCAAACTTAATAATTTGTTATCATTAATTTACAAACAACATACCGGTATAACGTGCAATTCAATATTAGGTGTATAGGTAATAGGGCATTTCTCCCTTATATATTTATATATAATCTAATTTAAAGACGTACGATTATGAGAGTGCCTAAGACCTTACTAAGTCGTTAATCCAGCCCTGCATCTAGATTTAAACATCCTCCCACGCTGCCCTGTACTGTGGAACAGTGTTCCCTGTAAGCTGAGCACTTGGGGGGCCACCCAGGAGAGATTCAAATGCCACCCAGCTAATCAGCAGAGTGCCCACACCTGGCAGCCAGTGTGGCTACTGGTGGTGCACATCTGCACATGCTTCGGTGCATGTAACAAAATGTATTCCGCGCATCAGTGGGGAAAAAAATAGAGGGAACATTGCTGTGAACTGTCCCAGTTTTTCCTTCACAAAAGGTAAAGGGGCCTTCTTATGTCTCTCTTTTACCCCTCCAACACACGCTCCCCTGTGATACCCCTGGCCACCAGCCGTGCCTCAGATGCCCATTTTGCATAAATAATCCAGGGGACGGTGGTAGTGGGGAGGAGGTCATTTCTCTCCTTTTGGTGCCCAAATGCCGGAGCCTCCATGACATTACTTCTGTGGCAGCAATCACGCTTGCCCCTCCCTTCCCTCAGCCTGGGACAATCTCCATTTGCTAGCAGGAGTGGGGGTGCATGTCTCCCCGACTCCACTGGAACAAGTGTATCAATTCCTTTAGCCTCAGAGACACTGAGATGTCCCACTAAGTCACCTGATGCTCCCTTGGCCTGGACAGGCTGGTATCCCTGGAGCCGAACTGGCCTGGGGCCAGCCACAATCTCCGCTCTGCTTGCTGCTGGGGGCAGATCTGATACTGTGCCTCACACAATGGGACCCTGAGCTTGGCCTGGGGGTTCCTAGGTGTTACCATAGTACGAAGACACTTGGCTACCCCCGGAAGACTGTGAACTCTGTGAACAAGCCCCTGTCACAGCAGGAGTCTTTCACACCAAAACATGCTGGTCTCTCTCTTCTGGCTTGTCAAACTTGACAATAGCTCAGCTGCCAGCACGCAGAGACCACTGCCTATCATGCTGACCATTGCTTCCTGGTGCTACCCCATCTGTCTGTGCCCATTTATTGTCTCTTGTCTTATGCCGCTGGAGCCCGGATGCCCCTATGGTCTGTGTTTCTACAGCAACGAGCACAGCGGGGTCCTGTGCAACGTTCCCTCTAATCTATTCCAGCCTGTGTGGAATAAATTTTGTTGCGTGCACCAAGACATGTGCAGATGTGCACCACCCATAGAAACTAAACCAGTCTGCTAATCAGCTGGGCAGCATTTGAATCTCTGCTGAGCAGCTGCACAGGTGCATATCGTACAGGGAACACTGCTCCTCCTGGTCCATGATTAAAGGCCTAGGCACTTCAATAATAAATAAATAAATAAATGATTTTAAATCTTAAGGGCTGGATTCTCTGAGATGCTGCTCATTGTCAAAGCAACAAGGGTTCTCAGCTCCTTGCAAGATGGAACCCAACATCTGGACCATACGGAAGCAACCAATTGTCCTTCCAGCTTGATGTCCACTCTCCATCAGTCTCGGGAGTAAGTTGTGAAACTCCCCATTCCCACGCCACGTGCAGCTCTGCGCAGTGAGGCAGTGAGGGGAACATTCCCTCCTGACCCTCCATGGTGATCATGCCCGGAAGCAATACGAACCGACGGCCCTGGACAGATACGCTCTCACTCTAGCCTCCCTGCGGCTGTGATTCTTATTCACCCGGCTGTGCCCCCGTCTCTTCTCCGGCGTGGGGAAGCTCAGTCCTCGCCGCCTACCAGACAGTCATGGCTCCCTCAGTCCTTCCCGCCCCTCTCATCCCTTTGAACATGGAAATAAGAAAGCAACCGCTTTCCCCTGCCAATCCTCAGTTCAAAGCCCAGCCTCTGAGAGTCCGAGACCTGGCACAATGCACTCCATTGTCCTCGTCTGATGCTGAGAGTCGGCCAGAACACAAAGACAGGCTGGAGACACTGGCCAGGGCACCAGGAAACCGTAGCCCAGGTCGACAAAAGCATCTTCTCCCACAATGGGAGCCCCAACGCTGGGGGGACCCTGGGTGACACTCAATCTGTTCTATTGTCCCCGAGGGCCCCGGTGTATTGTACAATGGGATCAAACAGCCTCATTCTGAAAGGGGAGGGGGGACCAAAAAAAAAACCAACCCAAAAAACAAAACCTGTCCCTCTTCAGATCTCTCCTTATCTCCCTGACTATCTCCTGGGCTTAGCCTGGGTGTACTTGCTTGCAATCACTTCGCAACAAGCCCGACAAGCCAATCAGACGCCAAGCACAGCCCTCAGTCCCCTTGACTGAGGTGATTTATAAATGACTCACTGGTTTATATTTGAGCACAGTCCTCTGCCTTCTGCACACCTCTACCTGAGGAGCAACTCTCTGCCTCGGCTTTCTTGGCACCTCTGCAGCTCCCCTAGCAGAATTAGCCCTTTCTTCTCTCCAGCCAAGGGGAAGGTAAGCCCCTGCTCCCAACAATGGTGCTCTTTGTCTGGGTGGGCGTGGGGGAGTCGCACTGTGGTTGCACAGCCACAGGGTGTGAATTTCAATATTTGGAGACCTGGTTGTTGAATGATTTTTCTCCCCACCCTAAGGGGATTTACAGCAGCAGCTATGCTGAGGAATTAGCAACAGCAAAGATCAAGGGAGTTTGCGTTACGAAGAGAGGACACAAGAGCCAAATATGGGACTTAATTGTTGTGGGCTCAAACCCTGCAGTCCTTGCTCAGACAAACTCCCACTGAGTTCAGAGGCAAGTTGCCTGAGCATGGAGGGTTACTCCTAATTAGAGAGCCGATGGGTCTGGTCCAGTCCGGTCCTCGAGTTGGTGCAGCTCCTCTTTTGGTCCCTGGGGTTTTGCGGGCAAGTCCTTGCCCCAAGGAGTTAGCAACCTGACTCGGACTTGGGGATTGCCATTCGTGGCATTTGCACAGTGTGGCTGAGGAATATAGCCGGGACATGGCAGGGCGGGGGGGACCATATCAAAGTCTGGCCCAGCCTAACACGCCATGAAGGGGCGGAATTATTTAGGCAGGGGATGAAATTTAGGAGAAGAAATTATAGGCTAGAAATCAGAGGGTGCTTCCTTAGATGGAGGGGCAGCATCCAAATGGAAGTGGGGGGTGTATGTGTGTTCCGTTGTGTGGGGGTTTTAAATCTAGACTTAGGCATGTTTGATAGAGCAAGAGTCCAGCCCTGAGTGCATAGCTCAGGGGTGAGAAACTAAGGCCTGGGGGTCAGAGGCAGACCCTGGTTTGGGTGGACCCAGCCCCCGAGGCTTGGGGCTCCCCCCCACTAGCACTGGGGAGCCTGCCCCCCCCCCCCCCCCTGCCACTCTCTATGGGGCTGTAGCCCCATAGACTAAATATACTAGGTCCTCCTAGGCTCTGGTGAGTGAGGGCAACGTGGGAAGTGTCTTTCTCAGTTGGGGGCCACGTCCGAGAGGATTTGAGGTTTTGTTTTTTGGTTTTGTTTGTTTGTTTTGCCTCTCACTTGTGTGCAGGCCCTGCCTGATTTTTTTGTGGGTCAGCGGCCCCCCAACCTAAAAAGGTTTCCCACCCCTAGGCACAGATGCTGGAACTGCATCCTCTGGCGAGATGTGCTTTCTATTCTATACAGGATTTGCAGTTTGGGTCCATGGCTCTCAGCCCTCCCCGCCCCCACCCCACTCTACAAATTGTTTCAGCCCCCCTGACTGCAGGGGCCCTAATTCGGCTTCCGATTCTGTGTACGATGCTCAATGGGACTCCGTTGTGGGGATTCTGCCTCTGTGTGCCACTAAAATCCATCCGCATCCGACTTGTGCATGGGCATGTCCTCCCCTGGCACGGTCCCTGACAGATTTCTTGCTTACATTATTATGTGCTGGTCAGCCGAAAGCACTTTCACTTCCCGGTGTTTATGGGAGGAAGGGTGGGGCAACAATGGGTTTTGCCTAGGTTCAAACGCGGGCTAGGGAGACATGCTCTCCTCTGCCCTTCCCATTGGACTAGATGACCCACAAGGCGTTTTTCCTTCTCTCATATCAGATTCCCTGGGGGAGGGCGGGCCGGTGTGCGCATGAGAGAGCTTGCCGAAAGCACTTTCACTTCCCGGTGTTTATGGGAGGAAGGGTGGGGCAACAATGGGTTTTGCCTAGGTTCAAACGCGGGCTAGGGAGACATGCTCTCCTCTGCCCTTCCCATTGGACTAGATGACCCACAAGGCGTTTTTCCTTCTCTCATATCAGATTCCCTGGGGGAGGGCGGGCCGGTGTGCGCATGAGAGAGCTTAAAGCAGCCAGCTTGGGATAAGCTGCAGTCTGCAAACTTCCTAATTCCTGAGCTCTTCAAAGGGTAATACCGGTCCCGGTGCTCATGGACACATAACCAGAGGGGGTTATTGGGGAGAGGGGCAGATTTTTCACCTTCCCTTCTGTTCCTTTTAAGTCAGTTCTTGGTCCTTTCTGGCAGAGCTATGGAGATGCTGTGCCCAGAACTAGCAGTGACGGAACAGGTACCGGGGACAGAAAACTTTCCATGGCCCGAACGCTGATGCTATTGAATTCAGGGATAAAACTCCCATTGGCTCCAGCAGCCTCAGGATTTGTTCCTCAGAGGTGCTCCTAACCTAGGGGAATTTTGGAGACTCCAGCAGCCACCAGCCTGAGGGCACTAGAGAAAAGAGGGGCCTTGGGGGATTCTGATCATATTTAAACCCTGTAGCCTGCCAGAGGGCTACTGACTTTGCTCCAGATCAGCTCTGAGTGCTCTGGGTAGTGAACTGGGCTGGCCCTTAAGAATCCGGGCTGGCGTTGGCCTTCTAGGGGATCTGAGGCAATGAGATGGGTTTCCCACTCCAGCTACCAAATGCTCTACTGCTGGCCTCCTGGCTAGGGAGACCAGGTAGCAAGTGTGAAAAATCAGGAGAGGAAATGGGTGTGTGTGTGGGGGG